CAGCCACTGTTAGGCTCTGCCTCTGAGACAGGCTTGTTTAGAGAGATCCTCATTTTTATCTGAGTTTTGTCACTTGGTTAATATGTGGCTTTGGGGAAACTATTAGTCACCCCAAGGTTCTCTGTATCCACACCGTAAGAATATTATGTCTGCTACATAGGTTTCTCTCAGGCTTAGAGGAGGATGAGCATAATTCTGACATTTGAAGATTTCGGTAAAAGTGAACTAGTATCGTGGTTTGAAAGAAAAATGGCTCACATAGTCTCATAGGGAGTGGCACTATAAGGAGCTGTGGCCTTGTTGGAGAGGTGTGGCATTTTTGAAGGAACTGTGTCACTGGGAGGTGGACTTTGAGGACTCAGATGCTCAAACCAGATCCAGTGTGGCAGTCTCTTCCCGCTGCCTGCTGATTGGATGTAGAACTCTCAGCAACTTCACCAGCACCAGGTCTGCCTGAATGCTGCCATGCTTCCTGTCATGATGATAATGGACTAAACCTCTGAAATTATAAGCCAGCCCCAATTAAATGCTTCATTACAGTTGCCATGCTCATGGCATCCTTTCACAGCTATAGAAACCCTAACTAAGACAACTATTATCACAACTTTTTATGTTCTCAATTGGAGAGAGTCGAGTTTGGGGCTTTTGCTTTCCATTTTATGATAGATGCTTTTGTGAGGATTCAGGTATTATGCTGTCCTGTCCCTGTCACCTGGCAGAATGCACTCAGGCATTACCCTTGTCATCCCAGGGTTCTATGGTTGCATAGTCCGCACACTGTTGCAAAAGACCCCTTTAAAAGAAAGATATCTGCCCACTTACGCTCTTTTCCCCACTCCTCTCTTTCCCTGCCATTCTCCGGGGGCAGATAAGAAAATTTCCCATCTCCCTTTTCTCTTCTGCCCTCTCTCTGTATTTCTGCGTCTCTTTGCCTCTTTTCTCTTTCTTCTCCCCCACCCTTTCCCTAATAAACCTTCTCACTTAAGGTCTGTCTGCTTGGCATGTTTCTCCTGCCACCTCAGTCACCCTTGCCTGCCATGGAATCTGCCAAGGTCCCCTTGAACTTTATCATAACAGTTTTGCTCTTCCCTTTGCCAGCTATTCAAGGCATGTTTTATGGGGCCTTCCTGTGGACAACTCTGCAACATGGAGCTACCAACAGAGACTTACATACAGGGAGCCCTTAGTACAAAGGAGTGAGCACACTCAGAGATGTAGGTGTTTATTCTAGACTTGTTCTGTTCAAGATACCCTGAGAAGTATTGAAATTGTGTGACCAGAAAATCACTAAAATGACTTTGAGACTTAAAAATTAACCCTTGGAACATGTCTCTGAATAAATGCTTTGGAGGTAGTCACACACTTTGGAGGTAGATTCTCTAGTATCTCCCACAATACAATTTATTAATTGCACAAATCACTTAACTTTTGTGTGGCTTGCTTTTCTCATATTCAAAAAAGAGATATGAATTCTTAATAAGTTTTAATTTGTGTTGGCGGTTCACTAAATGTATTAAGGGCACTGGGGAACATTTGCAGCATGATTCTAACCCTCCAGTGGGATAACACAATCGAGTAGTATAGTAGACTTGACAACATGATAGAGAGGCCTTATCTGTAGAAGAGACATTGGAGTTCATGCAAGCTAAGGTTTATTATAGGAAAAAGGCATGGGAGCAAAGTAATGATTGAAAATATAAGCTCATTCATTCATTCATTCATTTATTCATTCACACACACATTTATTACATAGCAAAAATGGACAAGATACTTAGCTCAGAATAGGAACTCAGTTAATGTGAAGGCTTCCCCATGGATCTCACACATCTGTATGAGTTCCTGACTCTCTCTAGGTCTTAGCTGGGCTCTTCCAGCAGCAATTTCTGTTCAATTCCATCTGTTGTATGGCTATCAAATTTATCATTCCAACCATGCATCTTTTAATGTCCTACAGGCAATGTCTGCTTTGGGAGCATTTATTGAAGGAAATCTCATCAAACTATCCCACAGAACTCTAAAAACGAGGTCTGTTTCTTTGTAGGTTTATAACTGTTGACCACACTGTGGCCTGTATTTGGAACACCCACTGCGAGAGGAGAACATTATTGAACTTGAGGGGGTGGTTGTCCCACAGTGGATCAACTGAAGTCTGGTGTGTCACTGAAAAGCACACTTCTGATATTGGGCTAGCTGGGTAAATACCTGATAATTGTTTACTGGGTCAATGGGTTTCCATGCGGGCACCAAATCATGGCTATGACCAGTGGTGACTGGGGCTGAGTGACTGAGAGGACACAGAGGTAGTGAGCTGGCAGCAGGTGGAGCCAGCTAAGGCAATGAAAGTGCCAGACCAGTAACTCCTCAATCCTCTAGACCAGGGTCAATTCATGTCAGAACATCTTTATAAAATGGAAACTTAATGTATGGTTATGTTTCCTTTGCTCAGAGTTACATGTGGTTTTGATGCATAAATGTGGATTTCTTTTGAGCAATTGCTTCAGAGGTAGGTGTTGCTTCAAAGAACTAATCACATGTATATGATATTGTTCTCATGGAGCTTTGTAGAAAATCACTGTTTTATCGCGAACAAGACAGTCCATGAATGGAACCTCCGTGTGTGTGTGTGTGTGTGTGTGTGTGTGTGTGTGTGTGTGTGTGTGTGTGTATGAGTGCATGTGTGTGTATGTGTATGAGTGAGTGTATGTGTGTCAGTGTGTGAGTGTGTGTGAGTGTATGAGTGTATGTGTGTGTATGAGTGTGTGCGAGTGTAAGTGTGTGAGTGAGTGTGTGTGCGCGCTTGGGTGCACATTTAAAGGAGTCCCGGCATAGGCTTCAAAAGGCACCTCCCCTTGTCTAATTTTAAATGCTTAGCCCTTTTCTTTCTGCATGGGTTTCGGTCAATGAAGACTTCGATTACTTTTAGACAAGAAAGAGTGAAGTCTGAAAAATACAGGGTTCTTCCAAACAGATTGTTTTTCTTGGAACCTGGCCCATAAGCCATCATCAGTGGATGTAACCTTTAGAAACAGAGCAGGTTTCTTCTCCTCCGTTTTTATGAGGATTCTATTGGTTGTAAGTGACAAAGGATACAAATGAAACTGGTTTAGACAAGTATGTATCTGCTCCTGTAATGGAAGTATCCAAACCCAGCCACCGCTCAAATTTCTTTCTGTTTGTTTTTGTTTGTTTGTTTCCCTCTCCTGTTTTAAAGTCCAAGTAATGAGAAGGCTGTAGCCGCTTCTGGGGCTTCCTCTCTACAGCTTCTACTTGAGTAGAAGAGTACCTTCCCATCCCCTCCCCCACGTTCTTAGCATAAATTCTGAGATGTATTCTGACTAGACCACTCTTCAGCCTACCCTGATGATCTGGGGCATACAGGTTGCTTCGGGAGTCTTGTGCTTCACTCCTCAGCAGGACGCAAGCAAGACCGAAAGAGAGCCTCTGAGAGTGGATTGGTACATCAAAGTCAGGTCTGGAAGGAGGGGAAAGAGACTTAAGAGACAGACTCCTCTCCATGCTCGAGTCACCCCACCCTTTTTACCTCTGAACTCTCCTCCATAGGCAGTGAGTGGGGATCCTTTTCCTGAATCTCCTCTTAGGATTATTTGTCCAGTGTGTTTCTCCTGATAGAAGGCGTGCCTTCCAAACTGTGATGGTGTTGTAGATGACTGAAATGTAGAATGAAGGTGAGATGTCTTCCCTGGCCATCTACTTGTCTTGGAGATTTAGGGAAAAAAAACAAAAACAAACAAACAAACAAACAAACAGAAAAACCCGCATTGGCTATTATATGGAATGCAGGTCTATTATGGTACAGGATTCCTGCAAAGTCACAAGAATCCAGAAAACTACAAACCCCAGCATAGTGGCTCAGCTGCCATCCCAGCACCAGGAGGCAGGAGGAGTGCAGCAAGTGGGAAACCAGCCTGGTTTACAGAGTCGCCAGGCCAGCTGGAGCTTTGTAGCAAGACTGTCTCAAAAATGAAAAAAACAGATGAAAGCAAATCCAAACAAAAACGCTTGAAATAAGCGTTGTGTCTCCCACCGCTTGTCTTGTACCATGCCCTGTGTCACTCTGAAGTACAAGTTGACTCACCTGCAGTATAAATCTCCAGGCTTTCATCTTGGGCCCACCAGGCACTTTGTAACCACAAAGCAGTCGCTGCAGCTGTACCGCCAACTGTCTCCTCACGCACATCTCCTGAGCCCCCAACTTTCCACTAGACTCCCAAAGTTCCCGCTTTATCATTTTACACATTTATTCTCATTGTGCTCCTTGTTAAAGTAGCCATTTCCCAACCCACCTTCATACCAGGAGACAAAGAGGAACAAGAATGGAACCCGAGATAGGTTATTAACTGGTAATTTATTGGGAAATATATACTCACATGAGGAATCAGTAACCAGATTTGGCACTCCGAGAAGGCTGGTCTCAGATGCTTCCCAAAGCTGGCTGAAGAGAGAGAGCGAGAGAGAGACTGGCTCCACCTCGCCCTTTATCCTATCGTTTGTGTACCTGTGACCACGCCCACCCAGGCACGGTCATCCGTACAGGTGTCCGGATCTCTTCCTACAAGGAAACCTTCTTATTGACTTTCAGTACACAATGAAAATATTATTTCTATTGATTGATACAAGGCTGTTTCCATTTCTTAGCAATTGTGAACAACGCAGCCATAAACACAGATGTAACATGTATGTCTATGGTAGGATTTTGGATGTATACCCAGGAGTCATGTGGCAGTTCTGTTGTTAGGTTTCTTGAGAAACCTCCATACTTATTTCCATAGTGACAGACTAGGTAAAGAAAAGATGGCATATATACACATTGGAATTTTATTCTTTTATAAGAAAAATGAAACCATGCCATTTGCAGGAAAATGAGCGAAACTTGACATCATTATGCTGAGTGAAATAAGCCAGACCCAGAAAGGCAAATGGTGTGTGTTTTCTCTCATGTGCAAGACATCCATTTAAGTGTGCATGCGTTATTGTGTTCAAGTGTGTGTGTGTGTGTGTGTGTGTGTGTGTGTGTCAGAGAGAGGGGGGGGGGCCCCAGAAAAAGGATCTTGAAAGAGGAAGAATGGGGGATGTGGCAGAGAGAGGGGGGGGGGACCCAGAAAAAGGATCATGAAAGAGGAAGAATGGAGAAGGAAAGGGGAGAAAAAGAGCACAATGGAATACATAGGATATGAGAGCAGAAAGGGGCTACTGGGGGGGGGGGGGGGACCATCCATAGGCTTTCAGGAAGACAAAGAGAGCAGTGGGTAGAAGAGAACAAAGTAAGTATAAGCATTCCATAAAGAAACCTGTAAGCCGCCTGTGGCGCACGCCTTTAATCCCAGCACTCAGGAGGCAGGGGCAGGCGGATCTCTGTGAGTTCGAGGCCAGGCTGGTCTCCAGAGCCAGTGCCAGGATACGCTCCAAAGCCACACAGAGAAACCCTGTCTCAAAAAACTAAAAAAAAAAAGAAAAAAGAAAAGAAAAGAA